GATAGCCACCAGTGCCAGAATGCAGAGAACTGACCACGGGGTGCCCAGCCCCAAGTGATGCATCTACCACACACCCCTACACCTACAGCTCAGAAAACATTTGGAAGAAGTGATGGGGAGACTGAGACTGGGCCTTCCAGCTACGACAGAAAAGCTACCGCCGTGAAATCTCAACACATGACTGCCTAAACAAGACAAACAATTCCAACAATGGTGGGAAAAATATCCTAGGGTTCCTCCCATCCCTAGATGAAAAGCTAAAAGTCATTAGCACCTGCTGAGAGAGGAAGACTTGGCCTTCCCCAGGGATGAGTGCCCTGATGAGTCGCCCAATACCAAGCCATCAGCCCTAGAAACAGACACGTGCAGTCAACCCTGAAGGGACCCAACAGGCTGTATTCATGCATTTATTTCATTCGCATGTACATGGAACGATGATGGTTAAAGGAGGGGAGGCCATGAATTGAGGAGGCAGAGGCGACAGAGATGGGAGGAGATGATGTAATTGGAATGTAAAGTTCAGTATCACATTGGACACTTCTACTATGGACACTCCAAGGACTGTGACTACATCTGCAAAAACAAAAAAAAATCATCCACATAAAACATCTGCAAAACAAAATAACAGATTTTTAAAGTTTATTTTCTGCCCAGTTACTGTTACAGGATTACCAGGCCCTAGCTACAGAGTCGGAGACCTGCAACATTCAGTTACATCCTGCGGATGAAGATCAAGACTGTCCCAAGAACCTCGGCGCCCCAATTCAGTAGGAAGTCGTCTAATGAAAACGTCTCCCCCTTTCTATCCCCCAGTTGTTTATTAACAAACAAAAAAAAGAAGGGAATGTAGGGTAAAAGGGCCAAATGGAGCAGGAAACCAACCAATCACTGAGCACCCTGACTCTGAGCCCCGGGTCAGTGAAAGAAACACCCTGGATCTGAGACCTGAGCCAGGGAAAGAAACATCTTTATCCCTGAGTTCAGGACCAAAGAAAAATGCCCTGACTCTGAAATCAGTGCCAAAGAAACACACTTTCTCCCTAGAATTTGAGCCAGTGAAAGAAATATGCCCTGGTCCCAGTGAAAGAAACACAGTTTGGCCATGAAATCTGAGCCATCTCTGCTCCTGACCAACTAAACTAACTAATCTCTGAGCAGAGAAAACTAACCAATCCCTCGCCTCCCTGGGAAAGCTTCACCACTAAGAAGCCCTATACAAGCTTTTCTGCCCATTCAGTTCAAAGTTCCCTTTGACCCCACCTTGGCAGAGGCAGCCACTCTCCTGGACTCTTCCTTCTTAAATAAATCTCTTTCTTGGGTGATGGTCTTCATTCCTCAGCACAGAATAGAAGAACCTGGCTTGGGTGACCCTTAGGGGACTGAAAGACCTTGCTAAGACACTTCCTTATGGGGGCTGAGCAATGCTCAGCAGAGCAGAACAGAAGAACCTTGCTGGAATGCTCCCTAAGTGGGGGAGGGGGGAGCGAGCAAGGCTGAGAAGAAAAGGTAGCAAGTTTTCTCTAGAGTCAGAAGAGATTGCTACATTTCCGCAAGGGGCTTCCCTTTAGCAGAATATTAATTAGCAAAAGAAGTAACTAACATCTTGGGCCAGAGAGGAAGCAGATAGCTCTGCTAGGACATTCTCCTAGAACAGAGCAGAGCTCAGCTGTAGGGGCTCTCCAGGAGAAGAACGGGATTGCTATATCCTGCGGGGAGACCATTCCCCACCACACCCCAGCTCTAGGAAGCCTGGCTTCCTTATAAACTGGGTACCTTTCCGCCAGAGCTGAGCTGTCCTGGTGCGGCTCTATCCTACAGAGCTGGACTGTTCAGGCTCTAAGTATAACCTGAGTTCCTGGTAAGTCAGGAGGGCTTTGCAGCTCCACAGCCATAACACATCCCCTACAATCCTCAGGAAGAACAGCACAAGCTCTTAATGGCTGAGCCATCTCTCAAGCCCCAAAACAATGTTTTTAATGACAACCTTTCATAATTTAGTACTAATTTAGTGGTTGGGGACAGAAGGACGCGGGTGTGATTCTGAAAAGACAAGGAAGAGTCCCGCACACTGACCTAATGTAAGGACAATGAAGCTTCCCGCACACTGACCTAATGCAATGTACCTTGAGGATAGTGATGGTGAGTACACAAGATAACATTACGTAGAATGAAAAACATGAAGATAATGTGACTGGGGAAATGTGGACTAAATTAATGAATTTCTGTCAATTTCAGCATCATAATTGTAATAATAAAATGTTGGCATGTGTCACTAGGGGACGTTAAGTAGAAATAATAAGCCTAAACCTATCTCAAATTTTTCAAAATTAAAGATCTAAATGTTTCCCTCACCACCGCTACCAATGAAAATAACCAAGGATAAACACCAAAATCCCAGAGACAAAAGAAAACACCAAAAAGGCACAGGGGTATGTAAGTTAGTTTTCGGTTTTTTTGTTGTTGTTGTTGTTGTTTTTTTTAGCTTTTTATAAACACTAAGGGCAGTGGTCTATTCTTTTTTTTAAAAGTTTATTAAAATATAAAAGTTTCCATTTTCGCCCCTCCTCCCAACACCCTCCCACTCCCCCCACTCCCTCTCCTCTTCCCTCTCCATCCCTAAGAGCAGTCCGGGTTTCCTGCCCTGTGGGTAGTTCAAGTTCCTCCCCGTTCCCTCCAGGTCCAGGAAGATGAGTATCCAAACAAACTGGATCCCCAAAAATCCAGGATATGCAGAGGAAACAAGTCCCAGAGTCATTGTCAATGGCTTTTTAGAAAGACTTCGGGTCAGCCACATTCAGGGAATCCAGCCTCCTCCAGAGAATCTGGTTGGATCAAGCGCTCCTTCAGTCTCAGTCAACTGGCCTTGGTGAACTCTCATTAGATCAGTCCCCTTCTATCAGTGGGTGATAAGGTATGTATTCACTCATAAGTGGATTCTAGCCATAATTAAAGGTCTTTGAGCCTATTATTCGTGATCCTAGAGAAGCTAAATAAGAAGGTGAACCTGAAGAAAATTCAGGTAGTTTTCCTCCTGGAGATTGGAAATAGACAAGAGTTCCAGGTAACCACGGGTGCATGGAGGGGTGGAAGGGTAGTTGGAAGGGGAGAGGGTTAGAGAGAAGGGAGCAGGGGAGGAATGGGAAATGCTCGGGGGACTGGGAGGGGGGAGGGAGGAAGGATAGATATGGGTTCAGGGAAGAATATATCTCAACTATGGAAGTCAGTTTAGGGTTTACTAGAGACTTGACTGTAAATGGGATCCCAGGTCCAAGGAGAGATCTCCAGATTGTTCTCTGGACAGAGGAGAGGGTGCCTGAACTGGCCTTGGCCCATAACCATACTGATGTATATTTTGCTTATCACCATAGATCCTTCATCTGGCAATGGATGGAGATAGAGACGGGGACCCACGTTGGAACACTGGACTTAACTCCCTAGGTCCAAGCAAGAAGCAGAAGGAAGAAGAACGTGAGCAGGGAGGGCAAGATCAGAGGGAACCTTCATCCGGCGATGGATGGCGATGCAAACGGAGACCCACATTGGAGCACTGGACTGAGCCCCCCAAGGTCCAAAGGAGGAGCAGAAGGAGGAAGAACATGAAAAAGGAAATATAAGTTAGTTTTAAATATATCCTATAAGAAGGCTGGAGAGATGGCTCAGCGGTTAAGAGCACTGGCTGCTCTTCCAGAGGATCTGGGTTCAATTCCCAGCAACCTTTGGCAACTCACAACTCCAGTTCCAGGGAATCCAACATTCACATACAGACAAACATGCAGATAAAACACCAATACACACAACATAAAAATAAATCATTGAAAAAAGATATCCTCATAAACAGAAGGTTTTTTAAGACGAAACAGTGACAGCAATCTCAGGGCTCAGTTAGTGGCTCATGTTTGATCTGGGCAAGTGACACCCCTCCCTCTCTCTCCCTTTCTACCACTGCCTCTTTGCTCTTCTCACACCCCTTTTTGTCTCTCAATCTCTATTCTCCAGTTCCCCCTCTTCCTCTCCTTGTCCCCTCTCTTTCTCTCTCCTTCCCTCTCCACTTTCTTTCTCTCTCCCTCTACCCATCTCCCTCTTTTCCTACCTCACTTTTCCCATTCTTTCTCAATCTAAGGAGTAGAACTAGAGCTTCATAAGGATTTTGCAGAACCATGTCTTTACCTACTTCCGATCTAGGAGCATAACTTTCCTTTTAGCCTAAACAAGACCAAAAGTATTAAGAAATCCGTCTGGAATTTCTCTATTGTAAGGAAGTCTAAGATGATCAAAGGTGGCGAGATGGAGTGAGGAGATGACTTAGTCAGTAAAGCACCCTGCTATGGATCCCCAGTATCCATAAAAAGGCAGGGCATGGTGGCAGCTGCCTGTGGTCCCTAAGCTGTGAGACTGCCAACAGCCAGTACTGCAGAAATGGCAGAGTCCAGATTCCTGTGTAAGGAAGACATACCTATATCAACCACAGGAGTGCCTGGCAGGAACCATGATATATACGTGCACGGGGCTCATGGGTAAAATGGGTCTGATTAGGGTAGATTAACATCTATGCAAAATGACTTCCAGGGAGTTCATACTGCGTTGAAATACCTGACACCCCGCCTGATTTCAGTGAAAATGGAAATAAAGACATCAAGTTGCCCTTTCACCCTCTTGGCTTCGCCCACTAAGACCCCCTACCGGGACTGAAATTGTACAGGAGAAACTTGGAGATGTCTCCTCTGGTTTCCCGCTCCCCAGCCTCACTCCGCGGGCCCACACACACAAAGCCAAGCTCAGCAGCTCAGTGTCAGAGGTACAACGGATAGCAGAGGTACAACGGACTGGGGGTGGGGGCAGACTCCAGGGGATAGAGATTAAGAACGAATTAGGAGTGAGGTGGTAGGTCGGCGGGCATGGGAAATTAGAGACAGCGCAAGTTAGGCAAGCCCAAAGTGGCGGTAAGAGCCAAGCAGGGCATGGACTGAGGCAAGCGGGCAACGCATGGGATGCAGGCTCACCTGCGTTCTGCAGCGTCTCGATGTTTTGGGGTCTGGTCGCCAGCTCCGCCACCATCTGCACGAATTGCGTCCGGGCTTTCTGGTACTGCTCGAACACTGAGGAGAGAGACCCGGTGGAGCCGTCCCGTGACCCGCGCCTCCAACGCTCCCGAGTGCCCGCCCGCTCTGGTCATACCTTGCAGCACCTGCCGCTGGCTCATGGTGAAGCTGGTCCGCCAGGCGCAGCAGGTCCGCAGGTTACAGGACCTCCGCCACCTCCCCGACTGCACCAAAATCCGTTCCTCTGTGTGTATCTGTCTCCAGGGCAACCGACCCAAACCGGATGCAACCGCCAGTCGAGGTCGTGACGTCACGGCCAGGGTGTCGGAGGCTGACACTTTTGAGTACTGCTTAGCACCCGTCTGCCGGCGTGGGGTTTTTTTTTCCAGGCTTGCGACTGTCAGGAGAACACTGTCCTTTTACACTCTGACCCAGAGTAGCTGGTGTCGCGCCTATAGGTGCGAGCGCTGGAGTGTCGGGAGCAAATTGTAACCAGACTATCAAGAACAACCAAACACGTAAATCACGTATAATATGATCACCACCGTATTGTCAAAGCATCCTTAACTCAGTGTTTTCTTTTTAGTGTATCCCTAATACACATGACATTTTTTATTTCCGGATCTCTGAAGGCTCACAACAACCAAATATTTCATTACATTCCAGATAGCAAGTAAACAGTCCGTCCGAGAGACTCATTGGGGGAAAAAAGAGCAAATAACATAATTAATGTCCGACAGTTCATGGTGGGGAAAATATATCTTGAACTTAAAGAAATCCAGTTTATTATTATTATTATTACTATTATTTATTTTTTTAATTATTTTTTAAATTATTCTTTGAAAGTTTTATATATGTATAAATGTAATGATTTATAAGTCATATACAGTAGTGCCTCACACAATGTCTCAAACTGACTCTGTAGAAATGAGATCAGTTTCAAATATATTTCAAGTTAAAGGTCCTTTTAAACAAAAAAGATGTTTGCATTCTCACACAATAGAACAACTTTGTGGGTTTGCTTGCTGGCTGGCTGGCTGGCTGGCTGGCTGGCTGGCTGGCTGGCTTGCTTGCTTGTTGGTTTGAGACAGGGTCTCACTACATAGTCCTGGCTGTTCTGGTATTCACTGTATGGGCCAGACTGGCCTTGAACTCACAGAGATCTGCCTGCCTCTGCCTCCCAAGTCCCACCATATCCAGCTAAGCAGAACAACTCTTAATTGAGAAAGTCTCCAGTTTCTTTTGACAGAGTGTATGCGCTACACTTAGTCTGTCTACTGCTGGTTTCTAGCTTCTCTTTGAAAACTGTGTACCAAACATTTCAGTAATGTGTCTAAATATCTCTCCATCTGAAACTCCAGCTTCACCAAATGTCAACGTGGACAGATAGCAACCTGCAGAGTACTGGCAAGACAGAAAACCCCCAGCCATCCTAACGTCTAATAGAGGGAGACAGGAAACCCCCAGCCACCCTAACGTCTAATACAGGGAGACAGGAAACCCCCAGCCATCCTAACGTCTAATACAGGGAGACAGGAAAGCCCCAGCCATCCTAACGTCTAATAGAGGGAGCATATGTGTGTCTCTGGTTCTCATCCTTGGAATCTTCTCCAGTAATTTTCGAGATCTCACCCAATCTGAGTTTTCTTGATGAAGTACTAGTCTCAAATGCTGCTCCAAAAGGAGTTGGGAACTAGTGTAAGCTCTGAAGGGCAAGGCTTCAGCCAAGGAAGTGTGATGGCGCTGAGGGAAAGGCTTCCCCAATAGGAAGTGTTACAACTCTGCTGGGGGAGAGGAGGTTTCCCCACTGCAAGTGTTACAGCTCTGAAGGGAAAGTATCCTGGCAGTTGGGAGCCAAGGAATACCACAAAGTCACACAACACAACAAACATCACACAAGAAATTTATTGGGAGGCAAGACCCCAGAAGGGTGGCTGCCTCTGCTCAGGTGACAAATAGTAGAGAAGGAACAGAAGAAAGGGTTTCTATAGCATTTCTTGGGGGAGGAGTGGAGCTTTCCAAGAGAGGACTGGTGGGATTTCAAGTCCTGTGCTTGGGGTAAACCCAGGGGTTGGTGGGATTTCCTCAGGGCTTGGTGGGTTTTCAAGTCTCTGGGGGTGTAGCTGTTATAGTAGTTAGAGTGTCCTGTGGGTAGAGCCTGGCAGTTGGAGTTCCTCAGGGGAAGGGCCTGGCCACTTGCGAGCCTCAATGGGTTTACATTCACTCCTTTTTTTGTTGGCTACTGATAAATAATCTTGGACTGGTAAGGCGGTCAATGTTACGTTAGACTACCTGTTGAATGGTAGTGTCGAAGTCCTTGGGGGGAACTTGACTATCACCGTCAGGATATAATCCAGCCTCTGACTCCGTAGCTGGGGGCCAGTAATCCTATAATGGTAACTGATTAAAAGTCTGGTTAGAAATCTTTTAGATCTGTTGTTGAAGAAATCTAGACAAGGAGTTTATAAGGCAGCATAAGCATTGCAGCTTGGATGGACAGGGAACCTGGCAACTGGGAGTCAAGAAATACCACAGTCACTGCAAGCAGAGCAGCTTACAGCCCTGCTCCAGGGAAAGGTTCCCCCAGCATAACAACTCTGCTCCTCTAGGGGAGGGTTTCCCCAGGGAAAGTGTTACAATTCTGCTCCGCTCTCTTCTGATCCTGCTCTGGCAAAAGTTGTTATAGCTGGGCTTTACTCCAGCAAAAATGTCATGACTGCCATGCCGAAAAAGGTACCAAGCCACGTGACTAACCCAGACAAGAATTATGGGCTAATAATATAAGTTATAAGAGTTAATAAGAAGCCTGAGCTACTAGATCAACCAGTTTATGATTAATGCAGACCTTTGTGTGTTTATTTGAGACTAAACGGCTGTGGGATCTGGTGGAACAGAAACTTCAGTCAACAGTGGCAGAAGCCAGCAGAAACAAAAATAAACCATTCACACCTTAAGAGAGTCAAATCAGCAACTTGAGTCAGTGTGAAATGTTGAGACATGAGTATGGCTGGAAAGTAAATGTGGCGTCTGCGACCAATGCTACCTGAGGAGACAGAACACAGGAAGAGAGTTTGTATGGAGATCCTTGTGTGTTAGGAGGTGAGGAGAGAAGACAGTGATAGATGACCCAAAAGTTAACTTCTTTGATTTGTGTGTAAGAAGTTTTGCTGTATGCCAGGCAGTGGTGGTGCACACCTTTAACACCATCACTTGGGGGGCAGAGGCAGGTGGATGTCTGTGAGTTCAAGGCCAACATGGTCTACAATGCCGCGCCAGTGCAGCCTGGATGCCAAGACTGGAGGGGGGTGCCGAGATTGAGACACAGAGGCTTCTTTTCAGGTGGAAGAACAGCAACCTTTATTTTGCCCAGAGCTAAAGCCTTTTATACTTCTACTGCTTCTGTGGAAAAACACCGGCCAGAAATAACACAAACATCCTTGTCAATTACAGACCACAAGCCAGTTCCCCTGTCAGTCGCGGGGAGTGAGGGCAGCTGGATCACAACATACAAGTGCTGGTTCTAGGACAGACTCCAAAGTTACAGAGAAACCCTGTCTTGAAAAAAAGAAGTTTGTCTGCAGCCAGAGGTCCATTCTTGCATATGAATGTATGGAGGTATAGTTTTAATACTTTATTAACAAGCATTATTTGTAAGTTCTTTCTTTCATAAACTGAATCTAGTGACCAGAAATTCCAGAGATAAATTCTGATCTCTAGCTATCAAAGCAGCCATAGCAAGCAGTGTTAGCAGCGGTAGCTTGTGGCTGGCAGCAGCAGAGAAAGCAAAAACAAAACCAATAAACACAGAACACAGAAAGCTCACACACTCAAAGACGACCAGTCAGGAATAAATCATGTGGCGGTTCCCATCATCCATGCATTCACCTGAGCCCGACCAACTTCTGTCTTGGCCCCCACGTTAACAGCAAAATTTATGGCTAGACCAGAAAACATAGACCCATCTTCACACCGAAAACAGACAAAACTTTCCAAATGTTCAGAATCAGATGGGCGGTTTATGTCTTGTTTTGCCCTGGATGGGAGTGAAAGGGTTTTATAATTGCATAAGAGGGTGATGATGTTTGTCTATGGCAGGGGGTATCCCATACCCATGGTTATACCTGGGAAGCTGGTAAGAGAAAAGATATGTCAGACTGTGTGGTTCAGAGAATAAGGAGTAAGGGAATGACTGGAGAACTTGAGATTGAGCGGATAGAGGGAGCAAAAGAAGTAGAGGCTCCTACTTTAGCTGAGGTCCCTTATCATTTTAAGGGCAGCCTTGCAGAGACCAGCCAGAGGGCAAGTTATAAACTTGTCTCTAGCTAAATGCACCCCAGGATAATGTAATTCCATTTGAGATCCCTATGGGGGAACTACCCTGGCCCCTACTGGGTGGGTAGCATTAGTTTGGTGGATTTCATCTGCATACGCCTTAGCCTGATCCCAGGCTCACCTGCTCTTCTGGGGAGAAGATTGTTGATGAGACTCGTGTAAACATCATGGAAGATGGGTTGTAAGATTAGATAAGATACTGGAATTCTTTAACAAAGGGAGACTCCAATCTCTTTTCTGTTCAAAACTATTTATGTAATAATAAAGGGATATGTACCCTAATCAAGTCATCCACTCCAGCAACTTCCCACAAAGGGAGAACTATGACCAGTTTTGGTAGGGTAGGAGGAAGTAAGGGAGTCCCATGGGTAGAACTGCACGAGATTTTTCTCTTCTGTGATAAAATATGTCACTGCTATTGTCTTTACTTGGGTCCTGTTTAGGCAGCCATATTTTGGAGACATTATGGGTAGCTTCCCTATTCATTTCTATATAAGTCGCAATCTCACAGAAAATTATCTGACCCTCTGCCTCTTGCAGTATTTCCAGGCCCTCCTCCACCATGTTCCTGAGCCTTAGGTGCAGAAGTTGTATTGTGTGGTGGCTACTGAGCCTGGCCTCCTTGTGGTAAGTTGCTTTCTGCATTTTTCACTGGTGGGTTTTTATAATACTCTCTCTCCAGACTGCAAAGAAAAGCATCTAAGATGAGGGGAGAGAGCTGCACTTGTCCATGAATACAAGAATAATTATTTAAAATGTGGTGAAGAATTATGCTAGTTAAGTAAGACGACAGTAGAAGGTTCTCCTATGATATCAGTCACCTCACAGGCCTGGGAAATTAGGTAGATTTCCAGCACCGGGCAAGATTTCCCTCCTTTTGGGCAGACTTTGAGTCCAATTCGGCAGCTGTTAATTACTGCCAAGAG